CGTTTCATCCCAAACATTTCACGAATTGCAGAATCAGTCATCAAATTAACGAAGAAATTTGCCAGATTTAATGGGACAGAAGATTGTCAACGTACTTTTGACTATTTGAACGATAACCTTATATTAGTTCCATTGTTGCACACCAGGATATAGACAAAGAACTTTACACAGATGCTCGATATTTAGCGATTGGAGCTCGTCTAACATAACCATGTTCACAAGAAGAGATGTCTCCTATACTAAGAATCAAAAGGCGAAACCAATCCTCCTATACCAAGAAAAAAAAGTGCGAAACCAATCTACTTCCTTCACATGGCCAAGCAAGAGCAAGAGAAAATGGTCAACAGTAGATAAAGAGATAAAGAAGCCTTTGCAATTCACTATAGCTTGAACTATTATCTACACAAAGCAAGCCTTTTAAATCAAGACAGACCATATGCCATTAAAGTCTTTGCAAGAAGCACCAGTCTATAAAAGAAAAATGCAATCATGGGCACTCAAACTACAAGATACAACTCCTGAATAGAGCACAAAGTTGGAACTGAGAATATCTGTGCAGAATCTGTGTCTAGAATACCTTTCAAAGATGATGAATAATAAAAAATGAAGGGTAGCCAGAGATAGATGAATACATATTTTAAGTTGTTGTGATTAACTCAAGCAAACCAACTAAGCAACATGTCCCAACTCGAGAAGATGAAGCAGACGAAATACAGATCAAGCTAGCAAGAATTCGATACGAAAGCGGCTCCAACATTATTTAGTCTTCCGCACCTCCCCAAGCTCAGTCCGATCTGCCTTCATGGAACAAGTATAATAAGACAAAGTTCGTATGTCTATTGTGCTTAACAACACGGCCAGTGCTCTAACACACCCAACGCTATTAATTTTGTTATTACGTAATATAATGTCAATTCAAGGTCGACGAATATGTTTCGTTTAAACTGCAATAAAACCAAGTCAAATTGGGATACTATGAGGTTTGCTTATCACTTCTAATTGTTATCGGCTGTTTTAATAGTCAATTATAACCACTGTAGAAAGATCTTTCTTCATACGACGTTTAACTCCCGGCTGTACAGTAAATTGCTATATTCACAAGCTAAAGAACTTCTTGATTTGTCGGCTGCACGCCTCTGACCTAACTGCCCTCTCGATTCTTTGTCTTCCCAGGCTTTCTCCTTTTCCTCCTACCGCGGGTGAGCTGTCATCTCCTGCCAACCTTTAATCTGTTTATGAGGCCATCAAACCCAGGATCCACTCGTACTCTCGCTTTATCTACCAGAAAGATTAAAAGGATTTCTCTGTTGTGCCACCTGTTCCTGGACTAACCAGCTGTCATTCAAAAGCAGTCTGTGTTTCTATAATTATTCCCGAGGGTGTCCTGGCATCTCTCGATATTACCCCACATCTCTCTCCTCATGCTTCAATGTCAACGTTTCTCTTTGTTAGTTTCTCAGAACTAAACATTCTTGTTCACCCCCCCCCTCCCCCCCCCCCCGCCCCCTACCTACCGCTTACTCCTTTCCTACACTGGGCTCGCTTTTCAACATGGGGACGGAGCGGTTATGGGAATGCCACGAGTACTGTGATGTCTGTTCTTGAATAAATTCAACGCCACTTAAGTTTAATTAGGGGCGCGGGGGGGGGGGGCGGGGGTCAAGACATGTGTCATTCCCACAAGCATTACAGCCAACAACGCCAACAACGCCAACTGTAGGAACCTTTCGCTCCGAAATATCAGATTTCAGTAAATCCAAAAGTCACCGTTTAGGAAAGGCTTGTTAGGGAATTTTGATTTATTTCTACACCACCCTTACTCCACCCACATCATTAGTGGGACGTTTTCACTATAGGCAATTTTATAGATAATGAGCCCAGCATCCCCCTATACACCCATCCCCCGCCCGCTTCTCCATAGCGCAGCCTGGGTAAAGCGGACACCAGGCCATGCTCATTAATGAACTGAATCAACGATTTCAGTCCTTGCCGTCTTGTCATTTCCTAATTTCAAATTATATTTTTTTTTACTATTATTAATAATATTATTTGAGACATCTTTTTTGTGTAAAATTTAGACATATGCTATAAGAGGAAACATTTAAACATTCTATAGAAGCCAATCAATGTCGTTGTACCTTCTCCCCCAGACTGACTGTATCTTCATAACCAATCCATTCATAATTCTGAACCATGTAAGGATTCTTCTGTATGTTGTCGTAGTATTTACGGCCCGTTGCATATCTTCGGCATACCTGTTCTTGTGCGAATAGAAAAATGTATCATAGAAAATAGAACAAACTCATTAATTCACTACTATTATCATCATCATCATCATCATCATGGTAGGAGTAAGTACTTTATCTTGGAAGCATACACAGCAGGGCTCTACAGTTACCAGTAGATGTTCCCTTTTAACAAATTTGTTGGCCGGTTTAACCTCTAAATATTCTCCGTGGGCGGGTCGACTTGGGTTGATTTCCAGGCCTCGAGACATTCTTGCTGTATTTTCCCAAGCTAGCAGACAACAGAGACTTGACGGTAGCTACTGACCCTCAACCAGTCTGCACAGGAAGGCGCCATGCCGGTCTGAAGTGAGTTGGCCACTCAAACCTGCCATCAACATCGTCGTTGAATCACTAGTGCCCCGCTAATGGCAATTACTCAACCCAAACCCGTGAAACGCCATCTCTTTTCCAGGTCTGGACTTGTGCGTTAGGTCAGAGTCTTCCAGTCCAGTTTGCTAAGTCGTTTCCACTGTATGGACTTTCGTTCACCAACAACTGTACGGTCTATGACATTTCCGTACTTTAGATGGACTTGGTGTGTCTCTTGTGTTTAACAACACTGCCAGTGATGGAACAAATCAAATGAAATTGTGACTGTTTATTATAAACATGCAATGCCTATTCAAGTACCACGATAATTTCATTTAAGCAATGATGAAGACTCTTACAGCATAAGACAATCCCAGTCAGCACAAAGAGACATCTTATTCAAAGCATATTTATTCCAACTCTGTGCTACCAGTGCCAGACATGGTCACTCACAACAAACCATAAAAGAAAATTAGTAACCACGGAAATGAGATGTCTGAGAAGGGCTGTAGGAGTGACCATAAGAGATAAGATCAGAAATGAGATCATAAGAGAACAAGTCGGCACAGAACCAATTCTGGATTACATACAAAGACAGAAAGTGAAATGGTTTGCCCACTTAGAGAGAATGCCTTGTGACAACATACCATACAAAGCATACATGGAAAGAGAAGAAGGACGTAGAGCACGGGGTAGACCAAGAACAAGATGGAAGGATAACATCAGAGAAACTCTACAACAGCACGATGTGCCTATGGTCGAGGCAGCCAGAAGAGCTAGAAACAGAACCTTATATCTCCCTCGACACTCACAGCGGTAAAAGAGGAAGTGAAGAAGAAGAAGAAGAAAATAATGAAGAACACTTCAGTATAAGCTGATGTAATGTATTCTTCCTACTGCTAACGAGTTATTGACCGTTATCAAATGTTCGTGAACTCTCATCTAACACGAAGTGCAAATATCTTTCTTTTAACAAAGTTTGTGATGTGTTTTCTTGAAGATATATAACCGTAACTCCTTAAAAGTATGACATTTGTTTTCGATTTTATTTAACGCTTCGGTCCTACAGTAGACCGGCTGCATTGACTAGCTACAGTTCTTATTTTCGACTTTTAAGCTAAACACGCCTGACCCTGATTGGTTCTCTAGCGGTGTCCTGGACTTCTTTTCCTCCCCCCCCCCTGTCTTCCTGTCTGTCTGTCGGTCTGTCTGTCTCTGGCACCCCTTCGTTTTCGGTATATCCTTTTCGCCCTGATATTTTCAGAGTCGTAGAATCTCGGTCAGTTGTCCCGCTTTATCTAATGGAAAGATTAATCTGCTTCTTCTGTCTGTACCTCTGGAGAAGAAGAAGAAGAAAAAAAAAAGAAAAAGACGAAGAAGAAGAAGAAGAAGAAGAAGAAGAAGAAGAAGAATGTAATAATGTTATAAATAGGGATAATGTTAGGGGATGATTGGCATAACTGGGGAAGCCCCTGAGAGCATGGGTTTCACGGAGATATGGTGAAACGACAGGGAAGAGTGTGTCACGTGTGAATGAGGAGATCTGGGGGATTGAGAATCAGGCGGTCATTCGGTGACTGGGCCCCAGAGAGAAAGGATGGGAAATGAAGCTGTGAAGATGAATGGAGAATGACTAGAGCATGTGGATCTGAATCGGCGAGGAATGAATGATCGAGAAGGCCAGCTGTGATGGTACCTTGTTTGATGGTTAAAGCCAGCCGCGAATATGTCAACGTATATTGTCCGAATGCTGTAAGTGGATTCTCCTGTGATTCGTGTATTGTGCTACCGTGTTAATAAACTCGTGAAATGTGCCGCTGGTGTCAACTGTTGTTAGAAGTTGTGTGACCGTGAAGAAGATCATGTCTGCTTTGATTGAGTTGTGACCCTCTAGACATCAGAGCCAGTGTTAACTCTGCACCACAGATAGCCAGTGTGGAGGAGACACAAAAGGGCAGTCATTACATTGGGAACCCGTCCTAAGTGCGAATACATTGTAATTTATAAGTATGAGTTACAGTGCAGGCTTGTTCTAACTATGCCAGTACATTAGACGTAGTGTTTTTGTGGACAGAAGTAAAATTTAGGCAAACACCGGCAGCTGTAAGTTTTGAGTGACTATGTGTGTTGGAAGATGGAGTTTAAAGAAATGTCGGGGTATTGTGTAAGACCAGGACATGCTGTCAAAGGGCATTAAGTAAAACCGTGACAACTGAATTCCAGACTCTGGTCATTCTGAAACAAACAAGCTAGCCTTAGAAAAATTGGCAGAAACACGGCGAAGCAATACTGGGTAATGTATTCACTTCACGTGTGAAAAAATTGTACACGTTTCATCCCGCGACGTGGGAACGCTTGTTCGTCGCTGGAAGAGACAATGTAAGCTGAACTTTTGACCCTTGTGGTGGGTAATCCAAGACGGATAAGTATCAGCAGCAGTATCCCTGTGATCGTTGTTTAACGTGGGTTTTGTTCGTCAAACAAGAGGTCATAAACCAGAGATACTAATTTCGGACTAGATTTCACCGCAAAAACACTGCATTTCCAAGAGCCAAGACGGCACTCAGTTACAGCGAGCAAAATCATCAACAACGGTCAAGTACAACACAGTAGCAGATAAAAAGTCATCAGCGACAGCTAACTAGAGGCAACCGTACAGCACACCGGCCACAAGTGAATGCCTCAGGTCAAGAATACTTGTCAAAAAAAAAAGAACGGGGTCCAGTCAGCACCAGAAGTAGTACTTTTACTACTAAATGTTTGTAATACGTCCGTATAGGTGAGTTCAAGTGTGTATTGTGTAGACAAGGAAGGAGTGGTGTTTATCAACATTAATTACGTCACGAATGGTTTACAATTTATAATGGATAGACAGTAAAAACAGTGATTAATGTGATAGACTATGACTATTCAGGTTGTAGAGTAGAACTACATACATTCTCTGTAAGAAAAGTATTTCAGTGAGAATCTAACATTTATCAACAGTTTGTGGTGACTATTAAAGTGTAATTAATATGCGCTAACTGTGAACATTTAGTGATCTGTGCCAACTGATCAACTTTAGTGTAGATTGTTAAACTACATGGTATAAAGACTTTTGGACATATTTGAATTATTGAATGAGCATAAACTAATGGTAGTCTTTTAAGATCATCTGCAGACTTAGACCACGACACAAGACAAGAGCAGTGTCCTACAAAGATCAGAAGAGAGTGTCCAGAGACAGTAAAGACGTGCAGTGGAGCATCAAGGGCCACAAACCGATTGGATTGGATTGGCTTTTTACTCCACCAGGACATCACACAAGCGATAAACACCCGATGACACAAAGTGTCACCATGCGGATGAGGATCACCGTGGAGAGGTCCCAGAAACCGCGTTCAGACATTTGGCCATAATGATGACCTGCCTATATTGCGGCCCCTGGCAAAAGCCAGAGTGGGGCTTCAAATAACAAAAAATAACGTCATAAGAAGGACGTACGACGCATAATTTTTGAAAAATTTCAAAAGCCGCAACACAAACCGAATCCAGTCCATTCCAACAGCAGAATAGCAAGGGAGCCATCACCAGGACCAAGAAAAAAGAATTAACTCATTACATTGTTTACATGCTTTTTTTTCTAGTTTCAGATTCTTTGATTGTGATATTCTATTATTCTATTTAAGTAAAATAGATAATTTTATGGTTATGGAAGATAAAAATGACAGTTTAAATCTGCAGGAAATAGAAAATGTTGCAGTAGTCACAAGAAGTGTAACACAAAAGCAACAAATACAAAAGCACTCAGTAAACATGCACAAAGAACAAATACCAGTAACTATAGAAGATAAAAACAGATTTTTTCCAAGTCTATCAACAAACTACAAAAAACAAGTAAATTTAATAATGCAGTGGCTAGTAACATTAATTGTGACAGTGTTAATGTCAAGTGTTAATTGTTGTGTTAAATATGTTAGGAAAGTTGCAATATTAAAGTATCAGTTATTTACAATGCAATTAAACAGGAAGCCAACAAAATTAAACTGTGATCAGGGAAAAATAATAAAAAATAAGTTTCGAGCAAGAGACATTAAATATTGTCATCAGTTAAAAAAAAAAAAAATGATAGAATTTCCTAATTAGAAAAGAATTTACAGTCATTACAGATAAAATTGCAGAACATAAATGCTAATGACAACGCTAGTTTACCATTAGACATTAATACAAAAGTTTAAATTTGATATTAGGCATGTTAAAGGTGTTAAAAACCGCATTCCAGATATTATGTCTAGGTTATAAAGATAGTAAGCAGAAATAGTCAAAAGGGGATTTAAATAGAAAAGGGAGATAATTATAGGTAACAGTCTAACATTACTAACGAATGTTTAATAAACGTGTTGTTACTAACAATTAATATTCAAATAAAATAAATGTTGTATGAAGTGATGATATGAAAGTTATGATGTGAAAGTGATAATGAGGAATGGTGTATGAATTCAAAATAACACTGAGAGATGGTGTATGAGTTCATAATAAAACAACAGACACATTATGTTATAATAGAAACTTTATTAACAGGCAACTTGCGGCCCCTGGCAAAAGCCAGAGTGGGGCTATATTGCGGCCCCTGGCTTTTGCCAGGGGCCGCAATATAGGCAGGCCATAAAAATGGCCAAATGTCTGAACGCGGTTTCTGGGACCTCTCCACGGTGATCCTCATCCACATGGTGGCACTTTGTGTCATCGGGTGTTTATCGCTTGTGTGATGTCCTGGTGGGGTAGAAAGTCACTCACTCACTCACAGATGTTGCATTGAAACATAGAAATTTCGAAATATCTATGATATAGTGTAAAAACAGAAAATGAAATTGCCACAATGCTAAAATGAGAAAATTCTGGCAAAAGGTTTTGGTATAAACCATGGTGAATGACGAAGACCAACAAAGAGTAGCAATCACTTTGAATGAACTGTCAACAGGAACTTGGTTCTATGGGGGACATACAGAACTGTGTGATTTATAAGTCTGGTTTTGGAGCCATTTTTGGACTTCCGCGTTGTTGAGGAACGCTTTGGGGTGTTGTTCAGTCTTCTTTAGGTAGACTGACTTCAGGACTTGATAAGTACGTCACAGAGCCTATAAGGTCATCCGCGTTGTTTGAGGAACGCTTTGGGGAGGTGATTCTGTTAGCATATTGCCAAGAACTGTCAAGGGGAGTGACAAGAGATGCTGCATATGTTGTACAAGTCAGAGAACCAATGGTAGAATTCCAGCCAACAGTAAAAAAATATTAGTAAAATAAGGCAATATTTTCTTATATGAAAATTTATATAGGTTTATGGAAAAAAAAATATTGCATATTTTTTTTTTTTTTTTTTTTTTTTTTTTTGTTTTTTGTTTTTTTTTGTTTAAGGGGAGGAGAGATGTAATGATGTTATAAATAGGGATAATGTCAGGGGATGATTGGCATAACTGGGGAAGCCCCTGAGAGCATGGGTTTCACGGAGATATGGTGAAACGACAGGAAAGAGTGAGTCACGTGTGAATGGTGAGATCTGGGGGATTGAGAATCAGGCGGTCATTCGGTGACTGGGCCCCAGGGAGAAAGGATGGGAAATGAAGCTGTGAAGATGAATGGAGAATGACGAGAGCATGTGGATCTGAATCGGCGAGGAATGAATGATCGAGAAGGCCAGCTGTGATGGTACCCTGTTTGATTGTTAAAGCCACCCGTGAATATGTCAACGTCTATTGTCCGAATGCTGTAAGTGGATTCTCCTGTGATTCGTGTATTGTGCTACCGTGATAATAAACTCGTGAAATGTGCCGCTGGTGTCAACCGTTGTTAGAAGTTGTGTGACCGTGAAGAAGATCATGTCTGCTTTGATTGAGTTGTGAACCTCTAGACATCAGAGCCAGTGTCAACTCTGCACCACAGATAGCCAGTGTGGAGGAGACACAAAAGGGCAGTCATTACAAAGAAGAAGAAGAAGAAGAAGAAGAAGAAGAAGAAGAAGAAGAAGAAGAAGAAGAAGAAGAAGAAGAAGAAGAAGAAGAAGAAGAAGAAGAAGAAGAAGAAGAAGAAGAAAAAGAAGAAGAAGAAGAAGAAGAAGAAGAAGAAGAAGAAGAAGAAGAAGAAGAAGAAGAAGAAGAAGAAGAAGAAGAAGAAGAAGAAGAAGAAGAAGAAGAAGAAGAAGAAGAAGAAAGAAAATGTATGAACGTGCTGTTTGATAGATGCCGGACTAAATTCCATCCATATTTTGAAGACTGCACATTGTGTAATCGAACATAATGATAGCTGCGAGCCCAATATGACGTTGTACACAAAAATTTTCAATAATTATGGAGTTGCTGATGATGAAGACGGTGGTGGTGATGACGATGATGATGATGACGGTAGTGTTAATGATGACGATGCTATATTTATACAGTGAACTGTGCCTATGTTGGCTTACCTCTGGGAATGCCATAGCACCATCAATGAGATATATATCACCACGTAGGACATCATTTGTAATTGGAGCTCCCGGTTCAAAATGCGTCTGTGGGGACACCAGCTTCACAAAATTGCCTAGTGCAGACACGCCTAGCACCATCTTCTCCAATGGACAACCTTCATGGTTCCAGATGTGGACTGTGTAATTCTGGCCGCGTGACAGAGAACACTATAATGTTGGACTGCTACAAAAAGATAGTCACCCAAGCACCAAGACAGATAGAAAGGCAAACAGACTGGCAGTGGCCTAACTGACTGATGGCTGCCAGACACCCAGACAGGTAAACAGACTGACAGTGATCAACTTCCTGACGGGTGGCTGTCAGACCCCCAGAAAAAAAAACAGACTGGCAGTGATCAACTTCCTGACGGGTGGCTGTCAGACACCCAGAAAAATAAGCAGACTGGCAGTGGTCAACTTCCTGACGGGTGGCTGAAAGACACCCAGAAAAATCAACATACTGGCAGTGGTCAACTTCCTGACGGGTGGCTGTCAGACACCCAGACAGGTAAACAAACTGGCAGTGGTCAACTTCCTGACGGGTTGCTGTCAGACACCCAGACAGGTAATCAAACAGGCAGTGGTCAACTTCCTGACGGGTGGCTGTCAGACACCCAGACAGGTAAACAGACTGACAGTGATCAACTTCCTGACGGGTGGCTGTCAGACACCCAGACAGGTAAACAGACTGACAGTGATCAACTTCCTGACGGGTGGCTGTCAGACACCCAGACAGGTAAACAGACTGACAGTGATCAACTTCCTGACGGGTGGCTGTCAGACACCCAGACAGGTAAACAGACTGGCAGTGGTCAACTTCCTGACGGGTGGCTGTCAGACACCCAGACAGGTAAACAGACTGGCAGTTGTCAACTTCCTGACGGATGGCTGTCAGACACCCAGACAGGTAAACAGACTGGCAGTGGTCAACTTCCTGACTGTTGGCAGTCAGACACCCAGACAGGTAAACAGAATGACAGTGATCAACTTCCTGACGGGTGGCTGTCAGACCCCCAGAAAAAAAAAACAGACTGGCGGTGATCAACTTCCTAACGGGTGGCTGTCAGACACCCAGAAAAATAAACAGACTGGCAGTGGTCAACTTCCTGACGGGTGGTTGTCAGACACCCAGACAGGTAAACAGACTGGCAGTGATCAACTTCCTGGCGGGTGGCTGTCAGACACCCAGACAGGTAAAGAGACTGGCAGTGATCAACTTCCTGACGGGTGGCTGTCAGACACCCAGACAGGTAAACAGACTGGCAGTGATTAACTTCCTGACGGGTGGCTGTCAGACACCCAGACAGGTAAACAAACTGACAGTGGTCAACGTCCTGACGGGTGGCTGTCAGACACCCAGACTGGTAAACAGACTGACAGTGGTCAACTTCCTGACGGGTGGCTGTCAGACACCCAGACAGGTAAACAGACTTGCAGTGGTATTCTGGCTAACTGACTGATGGATATCAGACAGGCATGAAAATTAGCGGATACACACAGACACACACATACACAAACACGCACACACACATACACACACACGTACACACACACGCACACACACATACACACACATGCACACACACGCGCACGCACACACATACACACACACACGCGCGCACACACACGCGCGTGTGCACACACACATAAACACCACCAGACATATAGACAAAGACAGGTAGGCAGGTAGGAAGACAGGCAAAGCGAACGAACGAACGGATTTTATTTTTTAACTGTCACAACCTGGGTGGATAGATAGAAAAAGAGTTATCTAGACAGACAGACATATAGACGGAAAGACAGAGAGTGGAAGATAGCTAGACAGAAAGACAGACAGCCAGACAGTCAGACAGACAGACAGACAGATAGACATACGGACGGACAGACAGACAGACAGACAGACAGACAGACAGACAGACAGACAGACAGACAGACAGACAGACAGACAGACAGACAGACAGACAGACAGACAGACAGACAGACAGACAGACAGACAGACAGACAGACAGACAGACAGACAGACAGACAGACAGACAGACAGACAGACAGACAGACAGACAGACAGACCGACGGATGGAAGGACGGACGGACAGACGGACGGACAGACGGACGGACAGACAGACAGACGGACAGACAGACAGACAGACCTACAGACAGACAGACCTACAGACAGACCTACAGACAGACAGACAGGCAGACAGACAGGCAGACAGACAGACAGACAGACAGACAGACAGACAGACAGACAGACAGACAGACAGACAGACAGACAGACGGGCAGGCGGGCAGGCAGGCAGGCAAACAGACAGACAGACAGACAGACAGACAGACAGACAGACAGATAGACAGACAGACAGATAGATAGATAGATAGATAGATAGATAGATAGATAGATAGATAGATAGATAGATAGATAGATAGATAGATAGATAGATAGATAGATAGATAGATAGATATAGATAGATAGATAGATAGATAGATAGATAGATAGATAGATAGATAGATAGATAGATAGATAGATAGATAGATAGATAGATATGGATAGATAGATAGATAGATAGATAGATATAGATAGATAGATAGATAGATAGATAGATAGATAGATAGATAGATAGATAGATAGATAGATAGATAGATAGATAGATAGATAGATAGATAGATAGATAGATAGATAGATAGATAGATAGATAGGTACGCGTATAAACAGATGGACAGTGTGACAAACAGACAACCATATTGACCCACTTACAACATTAGCTTGCGGCGAGAGGTTTGGGTTTGTGCTTGGAAACAGAGGCCCGTTGAACGATGCAAACCGATTGCTGGAGAGATGGTAAGCCATGACAAACACATAGTCTACCAGCCTGCAAGTATACACACCAAAACGTATTTCTCTTTATCTTTACGCCGCCGTTGCTTAGCGGCTAGACGCTCTACTGCGAGTCCTAATGTGGTGGGTTCAAATCTTGGGGAGCGTGACTGTTTTTCATAAAATGGCATTTAAAAATTCCCTGGATTACCTTTTGCCATTGCTTTCATAAATGGAAGACACAGCAAACGCCAACACATACTAAGTATCCCAAAACTAGTAAAGACTTGTACAAAACAAGCCTAGCGTACTTTGCAGCTTATCTGTGGAACCAAAATTCCACAGCCAATGAAATTCCCCATACTTACAATCGGAATCTATTTAAATATTTTTTTAGCACAGATTTTATGCTCCCGTAAAAGAGAAAAGTTTCACATATTAAACCGCCACCTCTCTCAGATTTATTACACTTCCTACGCTTGGTATTATTAGCATTTAGAAATGGCGGTATAGATAGAGCATATCCCAGCAATTGTGTTCAAGCATTAAATGTGGATGTATGTTTTACAGTTATGCTAAGTGATGTGTGAATTAAGGTCAGAAAGGTTGAATGAAAGACGGGCTAGCGTAAACAATTCCTAACACTTTGGAAATAAGAATTGTTTTGTCCGTTTGTCTGTCTGTAAGTCTGTCTGTCTGTCTGTCTGTCTGTCTGTCTGTCGGTCGGTCGGTCGGTCGGTTGGTTGGTCGTTCGGTCGGTCTGTCTGTCTATCTGTCTATCGGTCGGTCGGTCAGTCGGTCGGTAGGTCGGTCAGTCGGTCGGTCAATTGCCTGTCTGTCTGTCTGCCTTTCTATCTGTCTCTCTTTCTGTCTGTCTGTCTGTATGTCTGTGTGTGTGTTTTGCTGGCCACAAGTTGAAGACCACGAATTTAGTGCACGATATCTAATTGTAGAAGTCAAGGAGCACTTTTGTTCTTCCCTCCAAGTAGGTAGAAACTGAAAGAAAACTGCTAAAATTGGTTAATTTTTGTACATACTAACATTGTTAATTTTCTTACATACTTGTAACACGTTTGAAGGCCTGTCTTTGCTAAACGAACTGGGTTCGAATCCTATTGGGGCAGAGTTTTATAATTTATGGAGGGCTGCCATTTCAATGTAACCTATATTTTAAAAAATGTTTACAAACAAATAAATACAGTCTCTCTCTCTCTCTCTCTCTCTCTCTCTCTCTCTCTCTCTCTCTCTCTCTCACACACTCTCTCTCTCTCACACACACACATACAAGTAAACAATCATTGGATGCCAGCGGTGTTTTGATCATTTGGGCGCCTGACTCATTTTTGTACCGGCCAATCAGGACTCTTTGGTGAATACAGTCAGCATCACACGGCCTACTTTACTTTCATAGACTTTTCTTAGTACCCATTTACGGTTGCCTGATGCAGTGATTCAAGATTCGTTTGGTGCGGTTGTGAATGCAAGGCTAGAGGAAGTTATGTAGATTTTATTATCTTGATACCATGATACGGCTGCTCTCGTCTGAAAGTGTCATAGGAAACAAAAGCGACTGGGCTTGATAATGACAAAGTAACACACGCAGCGATGATAGGTTTATAAACTGTAGGTTTAGCACCCAAAGAACAACAACATGAAGAATAAGATAAAGAAAAAAAGTACAAGAGTAAAAAGATCAAAATGACTGAGAGAAGGAAGAACAGTATCTTGAAAAGGAAGTAGAAGAAGAAGAATGCGAATAGAAAAACAAGGTGTTGGGGGTACACAAGATGCACGCGAAGAAAAATAAAACGAACGGAAAGAAGGTGAAAGAGACCCACACCCCCACACACACACACACACACACACACACACACACACACACACAAAACACAGGTAAAAAGATTAACGAGGTCAAGAAGAACAAAACAACTAAGAAGAAAATCAACAAAAACAAAATGTACAAGAATAAAACGACAAAAGAGAGCGTGAAGAACAAGTGATGCACCGGAACAAGAACAAGAATAAGAGCATTTACAAAAAGAGCTAGATTAACGAAAACAGGAAGAACAAGTGAAATATGCACCGCAACAAAAACAAGAATAAGAACATTTACAAAAAGAGCTAGATTAACGAAAACAGGAAGAACAAGTGAAATATGCACCGGAACAAGAACAAGAATAAGAACATTTACAAAAAGAGCTAGATTAACGAAAACAGGAAGAACAAAAAGAACGTAAAGAAGGTGAATGAGGCCCCCCCCCCCCTCCAAAAAAAAAAACCCACAGGTAATAAGATTAACAAGGTCAAGGAGAACAAGACCACTAAGAAGAAAATTACCAAAAACAAAAAGTACAAGAATAAAACGACAAAACAGAGCGTGAAGAAAAGTGGAATATGCATCAGAACAAGAACAAGAATAAGAACATTTACAAAAAGAGCTAGATTAACAAGAACAGGAAGAACAAGAAGGACAGGACAAAATACGGACCTGAACTTGGAGAGTAAGAGCTAGGCGAGGAAAGACACAATTGATGTGTGTACACCTACTTTCCAATCTCTGTGACGTCATAGGCCAGTTGGAAGTAGCCGGGTTCTATATACCCCATCATGGTTAGCAACAGTTTTGTTTTGTTGTTATTTTCCTGGTCAATGGCCGACCTTAAAGCCTGCAGGTATTAGCAAGCCGTTAGAGCAGTTCACCAGCTGATGCAATCAGTTATAAAAAGTCAAGAAGTATTCTTCTTCTTCTTCGCGTTCACCAGCTGTAAACTCTGCTAGAAAGTTATGGTTGTTCATCCACTTTTAGACTGCAGTACTGTTTGAGAACCCGAGTGTTGCGTGTGCATCCGTTTTACAGATCTCACTCACTTGTATGCAGAATGCTGGTTCCATGCCTCTCAGGCAGATGTACTCCGACTTCGAAGGAAGCTCCTAATTAATAGTCGATGTATTCTTGTTTTGCCTATAATAGGACCCCGGAACACAGACGGTAATTCTGGAAGTGATTGGTGCTGAACACACAAAAGTTGACTAAATAACGCTATCATGTGATAACCATGTGATCTACATTCAGTTAGTGACTAGGTGATGTATTCATTAGAGATGTCATTCCGGAGGTGACCATATCATTAGAGCAAAATGAATGTGATTACATTTTACAACATTATATCTATCGTCCTCCTCTCCCACACCGGCAGTAAACTCTGGCGGACATGTTTAGTTGTTTGCCCGCTTCCAGAGGAAATTGCGTTTTTTTTTTTTTTTTTTGGGGACATCATTCGCCCACATTTAATACTTTTTCTTTATTGTATCTTCATTCCAAATTTGCAAGTGTGCATATTTATAAATATTTGTCAAGCATTCTTCTGTAAATCCATATCTCTGAAGCCTCCATAAATTGATTGGCATAGTTACTAATTGTCCTTGATTCACAACCATACGTTAAGACAGGCTCTGTATGGTATGTCAGAATTTTTTTTTTTTACCTCAAATTTCACAGAGTTGTTCCTTGGCTTGACTGACAGTCAAAACTCCTCTAGTTCAACTCGGATCGAGTCGGATTTGTAAACACTTACTTTATGACTCTTGAATGAAAGTCTAAAATAGATATGGGCGTGTATATTAGGGAGAGTAAAGGCGGCTCTCATATTGGTGACCACATCGCTTATCAAGTGCTGATTGGTCTATACAACTACGAGTAAGTTAGGTAGAGTATGGAACACTTTTCCAGTCCAGAGGCATATAGGGCATACGCTGTTTGTCCGATATTGTATAGACCAATTGGCACTGGGTGGCTGATGTGGCAACATCAAGCGCCGGCCTTCATTTCCATGGACTTTACCTGGTACCCATTCAAAGCTGATAGCCACACTCATTTTCTGAAAGAGTACGGCTCCGTTTGGATTTGAACCTACGACCTCTGGATCCTCGGATGAGCGTCTAGCCGCTACACAACGGTTGCTCCCATAAAACTATGGCTCTAGAACATTTGATTCTATGCAATATTTCTTTGTCACATCAAAGAGAATTCTTAAAAGCTAAAAGAAAAAATCCTATCCTAATATACTGATGTCAGTCTGGAACAGTTGGTCGATTAGTGAAACATTATTCAGAAGCGGCGGAAATATGGTTTAATAGATTAATCAGCACAGATAACAATAGTAATGAAGATATGTTGGGAAAAAAAGTATCACACAAATAAATAATTGCCCAGACAATCTAAATTGTTTTGTTTTCGGTATGGGGTGGGGGGGGGGGGGGGGGGGGGGGGGGGGGTGGGGGGTTACATACAAAAGGAGAAAACTGGAGCAGAAAGTTACAGAGCGAAACAGAGGCAGAGGGAGTTCAGAAAGTGTGAAAGTTGACTGAAAGTACACGAGACAGAAGATTGTGAACCAACGCTACACGGCATGGACGTTAAGGAAAAAAAGCACCATGTACCCGAAACATCAATGATGTGACACGGGTCTTTGGCGTATTGATTGCATGTAAACACATTTCCCAGATAACAGTTCGTCTGGTAGTCATCTACACAGTGTGTTTCAAAACTCAAACCGTCAAATTGTAACAGATATTTCCGAGAACTAAGTGGTAGTTGGACTTCTCTTCTTATAGGCTAAGTTAGACATCTCTTTACATACGAACTTTTTGCATGTGGCCTTACAATTTTCAAGTGCTTATGATTCTAAAATTTGCAGTTGTGCTAATTTGTATCCAGACTGTTGGTCCCTTGCCTTTTAGGAGTCACGCTCCGACTTCAGAAAGACACGTCTAATTAGTCGCATCCACAAAATGTTTATAATGAAGGAAGTGGGTCTATTCCCCCCCCCCACCCTATGAGGCCCAGGCACCCACAAGCGGTAATGGGCATCTTTGTCCGCCTGGGGACCTGCAGCCATTCAACTCTCTCGTACACAGTTTTTGGTTCTCTCAATCTCTATATGCCTGACATTAAGCAGGGGTTACGAACGCCATGTCTAATTCCGGCAATAATGCAGCAGATCTGTGGGGGCTTTTGTTTTTGAACATGGTATTGAACACTGAGAGTCCAGCAAGCAATGGCAAACTACTGATTGTAAAATTGTCTACTAAAACAAAGAGTGCAACATTTAACTGCACATTCACATCACATACCCGTAAAAGGTTCGTATAGTTCTGTTTAGCCTCATTTATATTGTAAATCGACGAATACAGATCGATGCCATCAAAAGCGTGTCGCCTCAAGAACAACAGGGCATTCCCGGCAAACGTCTGCATGCGAATACTAGACACAAGCAAGCTCATGAACTCCACGCTCTGTGCGAGCTCTGGTCCCCCAACTGTCAGTAGTGTTTTAATTGCGGGGTGTGCCTGCTTTGCACGGTTGAACCTCCTGCGGTAACACAAAACCACATCATTCAGAAATACTGAAAGCAAAGCACGCTCGCTTGTTTTTGTTCCGTGGCTCCTTTGATGTGCCTGTGTGTGTACGTATATGCGTGTTTATGTTTGTGGGTGTATGTGTGTATATGTGTGTGTGAAGTGGAAGGTGGTGCTCACAAAAAACTCATGAACTCCTCTCTCCACACCTAAATAAGCATGTTGTAAAATTTCGGCTTCTTTGGAATTTGCTCAGATGATTGCTTGGGCCGTAAATGCATATTCACAGCCTAGCTGTAAGCCACAACACAAAGAGCTCATATCGCTTTTAAGGAAGAAAGCAGAAAGAGAGAAGAAGAAAAGGGAAAAAGAAATATTGTTAGCTAACGTGCCCTTTCAAACTACTGACATTTTGTGAATCTTATGTTAGGCCTCACTTCTTATAGACTAAGTTAGACCTCTCTTCTTATAGACTAAGTTAGACCTCTCTTCTTATAGACTAAGTTAGACCTCTCTTCTTATAGACTAAGTTAGACCTCTCTTCTTATAGACTAAGTTATACCTCTCTTCTCACAGACTAAGTTAGACCTCTCTTCTTATAGACTAAGTTAGACCTCTCTTTATAGACTAAGACTAAGTTAGACCTCTCTTCTCACAGACTAAGTTAGACCTCTCTTCTTATAGACTAAGTTAGACCTCACTTTTTATAAACTAAGTTAGACCTCTCTTCTTATAGACTAAGTTAGACCTCTCTTCTTACAGACTAAGTTAGACCTCTCTTCTCACAGACTGTTAGACCTCTCTTCTTATAGACTATGTTAGACCTCTCTTTTTATAGACTAAGTTAGACCTCTCTTCTCACAGACTAAGTTAGACCTCTCTTCTTATAGACTAAGTTAGACCTCTCTTCTTACAGACTAAGTTAGACCTCTCTTCCTACAGACTTAGTTAGACCTCTCTTCCTACAGACTAAGTTGGACCTCACTTTTATAGACTGTTAGACCTCTTTTTAATAGACCAAGTTAGACGTTTCTTCTCATAAACTAAGCTAGACAACTTTTCTTAAGAACTAATCTGGTTGTTTTTTCCCCCTTAGGATACATAATTAATTTGTTATTCACATTCTACTTTCATTTAGTCTGAGGGGTCACCCTATAATTGTTCTGTCTGCGAAAACAAAGTGAAAACGACACAGAAAAGTCCAGTGATATCACTTGGAGGTAATATTCATATAGACTGCAATCTCGGTAAAGCCAACCTCACTTGCACATAATCTGTGCGTAAAGCAGTCGGCAAAAGTGCTAACACAAACACACCACTATTAATATTGCAGTTCATCTTTGATGGAAACAGGAGTTACAACAAATCAGCACATGCACATGCAAGGATAGCACAAGGTCCCTTGGCAGGGAGGCCATTTGCCTTTATATAAACCTTTAGTTCACAATACAAACCACCCTGGGCACAGTGGAGAAGCATTCACAGGGAAATTCCGTGTGTTCTGTGGCACCATGCACTCAAATCAGTAGCTGGGCGACGGAACTGTATTTTTTCAGGCCACATAAGGGATGGAACGGGTGGCGGGGGAAAAGGGGAGGGGGGTTGGGGGTATACATTAGTTACCCGTATTTAGAAGCAACATGCCAAGACTAAATCAGCTGGCCGGCCTATCAACCACACTGTACCAGAAACCAGATACAGGTACACTATGTATAGATATTTGATTTGATTTGATTCTAGAACCGACATCATCGCACTCGGGCCATTGCCATAAGAGCTTCGTCCCCAACTTCAGCAGCCAGCGAAGAGGTACTGAAAAATGTGTCAAGCGCAGAGCACGTGCTCCGTAGCCCTGGCGACGATTATCATAGAGAAAGATAAACTAATCAACAACTGAAGTTTATTTGATGGTTGATGTGGTTAATATCATGCAAGCCGTCTTTACCTCTCACTATTATATCCATTTTGGGCTGGGTCAACCGGGGGCATCTTCAGGGCCATAGACGTAAATCTAGTCCTGATGTCGTTACTGGTTCCAGTGTTGGTAGTACAGTTCGGTATGCTATAACTACAACTGAATCGCTATGCATGCTCCTTGAAAAATGATCTGGTATCATCCGTTCAGAGAGACTTGCGTTGCTTTATAGGACTTAAAAAAGAAGAATGTAGTGGGAGTTGGTTGGTTGAACGTTTCCGAAATCCCACCCCCCCCCCCCCAACCCTCGTTCCCCAATCAAAAGAGACTGACTGACAGCATGTCGTTGACAATCGGGTATACAAGGCTAGTTAGACTAGCTGATGCCGCCCCACTGTATGATGAGCTATTGTGCAATCAAGCCGATGTAGTGAAGGGTCAATGGCGTAAATACCACAGTGCAGAAGAAGAAAAAATCCGAATCTAGAAACAATGAATCCCCTGGATCTGAGCAGAGGCTCCTGACGATTTCTCTATCCATCAGACGACGTTTAAACCAGGTTACAACTGACACCATCGTTATGGGAACTACTGTGATGTCAGTTCTCCATTGATTCATTCATTCATTCAATCATTCGTTCCCATGCTCCATAGACGTTAGAAGGTTAGACAAACTGACAACGCCACAGCTCTGTGTATCCATAAACAATATATTTGTATAGTGATTCCAGAGCAAACATTCTGCAACACACCTCTCCCCCTACTGTACGCACCGGCTATAACCATCTAATCTATCAGCTCTTTAACGAAGTGTGTGACTGATTTTAGCCCTTGTCTTTTCTTTTTTAATTTATCACAATTTGCTTCGGGGAGCCACTCTGGTGTAGCGGCTAAAGCTCCTCTGTGGGTCTTAAAGGTGGTGGTTTCAAATCTAAAATCAGCCAGACTGGTTTCATGCTGACCACATACACAAGTGCAGATTGGTCTATAAAATATAGGTCTAGCCATATATATATGTGGCAGTGTCCTGTCTGTATAGTCGCCCAGGTTAGATGTTGTGTTCGACTATGTCTACGACCATGAACGTGATGGTATAGTGCTATGAAGGTTGTGTCCCCCTATGTTGTGTACCTACTTTGTGGACATCCATTCGCTACAATCTGCAGTACTGGACTTCCGGTCAAAATGGACGTTAGGCAGCGGCACTGTTCGAAACAGAGGCAAATTGTTTGCTTCTGCCGGACGCTGACAGATGCAATTTTGCTCCATTTGTAGACTGGATATAGTTTCGTCGCCCAGCTTCTGAGTTGAATTCATGGCGTGACCCTGTGAGCTGCGGATTTCATTTGGAATGTTTTTTCGACTGTGACCAACGTGTTGGTGTGAATTGTAGATTCAGAAATTGGCGCGATGCCTGTCATGCAGTGTTGTGGTGCCCGTATGTGATTAAAATTGATCGCGTGGGCAACTGCTAATCTGTTGGCGACTTCTGCTACCATCAATGATGAATTGCAATTCTAATACTGTGATAAACATTCTGTGTGTTTTTCGTTGGCACAGGAACGGAGCAAAGATGGGGTGACCCGTTTGCTATGAAGCTGAAACTAAGACTACCAGACTACCAGACCAGTACTGGGTTAGAAGCCGTAAATAGAAATAGTAACGTCTGTTTATTTCGCTAGGCGGACGCTGAAGCCCATCTTTGATGGACCCTTTAAAAACAACACATAGTACATGCGTTCTCGTGTCCCGTCTTTGGTCACTTCTTGCAATACAATCCTACATCCGAGGAATCTTCTCTCTGGCAACACTGCACACAATGCACACTAATTAAAAACTACACACAAATAAACCCCTCCACCGATAAAGCGTTGTATCTCTGCTCGTTCGTGTGCTGCGACCTCCTTTTTTATCAAGCCTGCTGTAAAAGGTTAGAATGGCGGTTGGCCATCCTTCCTTCCTTGTAACTGCTAAACTCTTATTCTCTGGTCCTGTCTGTCACCGACGAACTACAGTCTTGTCAAGTCCAGCTTCCGTGTTACCGGACTGGTAGTCTGTGTTCAGCGTGTGCATCCACCGTGCACGACTGCTGCGAACTGACTAATTTCTTGACTGACTGACTGACTTTCTACCCACCAGGACATCACACAAGCGATAAACACCCGATGACACAAAATGCCACCATGTGGATGAGGATCGCTGTGGAGAGGTCCCAGAAGCCGCGTTCAGACAATTGGCCATATTTATGGCCTACCTATATTGCGGCCCCTGGCGAAAGCCAGGGTGGGGCTTCAAAAAAAAAATTTTGTCCTAAAAAGGACGAAACTTGGATTAGACAAACTAATTTCTTATTCTCCTGTTGTTAATATTTTGCAAGGGTGAGTATGTCACATGATCTGTTTCTAAACATTTCATTGGGTAACTTTGATAGAAATTTCCTTTCGCACCATAGTTTAATGTACTAAATTAATTACCAGGTGTTATTGGAAAATTGTCAATCTAATTGGGGTCTACGTGACATTCCAAACATTCTCCGACGGCTGGCGCCTAGCCCCGTCAGTCCGTGAGAATCGTTTTGTTTATAACTTTAGTTAAGCGGCGTAATTCGCCAGCTCGATGTGAGACCCTAGTACGTGGTGGTTTTTGATAGAACCCTCGGGCTGTGTGCCGACTGGGAAAGGGTCGAATCTGTGATGGGTTTCAAATGCTTTGCCTGAACCTAATTCTCGGCAGTGGGGACGCTACTCTGTAACATACCCAATATGTCAGAAGTCAAGGGAAAGGGCTCTTTCGTTTATTTTTGCTTCTTACTTTGGCAGCTCTTCTGTGTCAGCTCATTTCTGTCATCATCTTGATAGCATTAGTTTGGGTACAGCTCCGTGGTAGACACTGACAGCATACAGCTGGCATAGGGTCTCAACTTATGGATCTAGAACAGTACGTCTCATAGGGTATCAACTTATGGATCTAGAACAATACGTCTCATAGGGTATCAACTTATGGATCTAGAACAATACGTCTCATAGGGTATCAACTTATGGATCTAGAACAATACGTCTCATAGGGTATCAACTTATGGATCTAGAACAATACGTCTCATAGGGTATCAACTTATGGATCTAGAACAGTAAGTCTCATAGGGTATCAACTTATGGATCTAGAACAATACGTCTCATAGGGTCTCAACTTATGGATCTAGAACAATACGTCTCATAGGGTATCAACTTATGGATCTAGAACAATACGTCTCATAGGGTATCAACTTATGGATCTAGAACAGTACGTCTCATAGGGTCTCAACTTATGGATCTAGAACAATACGTGTCATAGGGTATCAACTTATGGATCTAGAACAATACGTGTCATAGGGTATCAACTTATGGATCTAGAACAGTACATCTCATAGGGTATCAACTTATGGATCTAGAACAATACGTGCCATAGCAATAGGACCTGAAAAATGCCTTTTAATTACTTTATTCCTAACTTTTTTTATTGTTGTTTTTGTTGTCCATTTTAGTTATGTTCTAGGGCCCAATGGATCGGCTGTGAAAGAAAAAGTGGGGATGGGTGGGGGGGGGTTCATTTGTCCATAAGACGCATGTCGTAAAGTACCGACTCACGATTATAGGACGAATCCAGAAGGAGGAGAAGAACAAAAAACTTACTCATATAACCCGTCGGTGTATATCTCTGCAGACGAGTTGTCCGGGACGATCTCTTTGTTAGTTGCATTGAGGGTGGCCCGATAATATATCAAGTGAGTACACAAGGTGAAATCTATGTCAGCGAGCGTGAACTTGGCCTGGTTCGTTCTGTGTCTGGCATATGTGTTAAACACACAGGCTCGCACGCGTCCTGTCACTCGCACTGTTGACAACAGACAGTCCTCAATCTGTAATATTCTTGGTTTATCATTTAAATATTAATTAAACGATCTCTAATTCCACAGGCCTACTTGTTGTTCTTCTTTGCCTTCACTTTCTGTAAACTCTGGCTCAACGTTCTAGTTTTATGTCAACCTTTAAATCTTGTTTCAGAACTGGACTTTTGCCTGCACATCAGTTTTATAGATCTGGTATATCTGTTTACAAACTGTTGACTGCTCCCCTCTCATGCAGATGCACTACAACGACGAAGTAGCAACCCTAATTGGTCGATTCGTTTAGGGCAGTTGTTGGCCAAAATGAGGGCACGGAACCCATACGGGGAAGGTTATCTTATAATATATTCCCATATCAGCTATATTCCCATATCAGCTATATTCCCATATCAGCTATATTCCTATATCAGCTATATTCCCATATCAGCTATATTCCCATATTAGCTATATTCCCATATCAGCTATATTCTCATATCAGCTATATTCCCATATCAGCTATATTCCCATATCAGCTATATTCCCATATCAGCTATATTCCCATATCAGCTATATTCCCATATCAGCTATATTCCCATATCAGCTATATTCCCATATCAGCTATATTCCCAAATCAGCTATATTTCCATATCAGCTATTTTCCCATATCAGCTATATTCCCATATCAGCTATATTCCCATATCAGCTATATTCCCATATCAGCTATATTCCCATATCAGCTATATTCCCATATCAGCTATATTCCCATATCAGCTATATTCCCATATCAGCTATTTTCCCATATCAGCTATTTTTCATATCAGCTATATTCCCATATCAGCTATATTCCCATATCAGCTTTATTCCCATATCAGCTATATTCCCATATCAGCTATATTCCCACCAGCAGAGTTCCGGCTCTGATGGTCCAAGCATTACTCTGACTGTCCGACTTTCTCGCCTTTTCTCTGAGTGTTGAGTGTCTACCAGACGTCCCGGTCAATCTCCCCTACACCTCAAGGGTAATATAACAAGGACTAAGCATTTCGCATTCATCAGGCCTGAGTCATTCTCAGACTATTGCAATTTATGGAAGCAATGGCGATAAAATGGTTAGATCCAGAATTATGCAGACAAAAGGACATTGTTTTAGTTTGCACTTGCCCCAGTGAAAAGGTCGTTACTTGTGAGTGAACGTAGTTTAATTTGTGCTTCAGTTGGAAGGATTCATTTATTTGCTTTATTTTAGTCGTTACTGTAGTATGAACCTGGCGAGATACAGCGAGATATGTCGGGCGATAAATTGTGCAATCTAATGCTTGTGTCTTCTTTCCTCAAATTCACAACAGGAAAATACATTGCTTTGATTAGTATAACAGTGTATCCTTGTCGCCATAAAAATATATAGTATTTTCTGTCGCCACCGTTGCATTGGTTTAATCTTTTCCATAGAACCTAATATAGACAGTTATAGAAACATTGAATCATGTAGATTGGCAGAGCGATAGACAGACATAAAGCAGGTATGCAGACTCATAGACAAACGAATAAATTGCCTGACAGAGACAGGCAGCCAGGCAAAGAAGGATGTCAATAGACAGCATTACATATAGGTAGAAAGCAGACTGGCGGGAAAAGACACTGGCAAACAGACATGTTGATTTACTGGTTGATAGACTGATCTTCTGCCTTTTCGTCTTCTCTAGTCCTGTTTTGTCTTTCAACGTCAGTCTGTTTTTGATTGATATACTCACTGTTATTACTGGAGAGATAATATTTAGATAGACCTGCAAACACTTAGTGTTACCAACTGGGAAAAGAAGGCATACCAGTGAGATGAAAGGAGGCGGGTGATATCTGCAGCAATTAACCGTAAGGGATCAGAATGCTGAAGAAGAAGAAGAAGATACTCACTGTTATTACCATTGAAGATCAAGACTAGAAACAACACGTTGTATACGTCATCCAACATCTCGTCAGCCATTGTCCTGGAAGAGACACAAACATCATAATGCAAGCACTGGGTCATGTCTTCTTTATGGGACGGACTCAAAATAAACAACCTAGCTGCAGCTAGAGACACACACATCATAATGCAAGCACTGGGTCATATCTGCTTTATGGGACGGACTCAAAATAAACAACCTAGCTGCAGCTAGAGACACACACATCATAATGCCAGCACTGGGTCATGTCTGCTTTATGGGACGGACTCAAAATAAACTGGGTCATACTGCTTTTATGGGACGGACTCAAAATAAACAACCTATAAAAATAAAAACTACACAGATGAAATGTGCTGTATCAGTTAAGTCATCAACAACACAAGAAGGGACGGGGTTACGAATAGAGAAGAAGTCGCAAATACACAGTGTCTCAAAAATATTGACAGACAAAGAATGAACTAGTTCGGTCATCTAGTGAGATGCAGCCAGGTCAAACTGCATATCCGATTTTTTTCCCCCAAGAAACAGAAGGATACACAGTTTAGATGAAACTACCAAAAAAGTGAACAAATCCACTACCCATCCACCCGAGATGCGCAAGACAAATACAGAAAACTACAACGCTCGTCTTAAGCCTGGCATCAATGAGACGTCACAAGAGGGAAGAAGAATAAGTTCAACTGACTTAGACATAAAAAAGACCAACCCCACGTCCTCGTCGTGAGAGGTGGTAACAGGACAAAGTAGGGCATTGCTAGGTGTGGGCGAAGTATGGTGTGGCCTCGTGCCACGGGACCGCTACGGTAGCCATGAAGGCCACCCTGGGTCACCCTGAAACCTCCTGGCCAACGGGGCTCTGGTGAAGTTGCGACAGGCCTAGCAAGCCGGCAATGGATTTTTTACCGCTACAAAAATCAAAATGAGATATAAACGGACTGATCAAACGGTATCTGACCATGGCAATGTTAAGGGACTACGAGACAGAACAGCGAAATACAAGATTGCACCATGGCAAGATATGGAGTAAGCGAACACCTCATCGAAGTGTGCAAAAGTTTATACAGGGATTGTAGAAGTGTAGTTAGAATAAATCAGGGAACATCTCATCATTTCACAGTGACATCTGGAGTAAGACAGGGGTGTGTCTTATCACCACTGCTGTTTATCACCTACATCGACAGTATATGCAAGAATGCCAAGCCCATGAATGAAGATCTTAGTAAGATCAACGAATTACTCTTTGCAGATGACCAGGCCTTGATAGCAGATACAGCCATGAAATTGCAACAACATCTAACATCCATGAATGAAGAATGTAAAACAAATAATATGAGAATCAACACTGAAAAGACAGAAGTAATGTCAATAGGAAAAAAAAAGACAAATCTAAACATAACAATAGAATACAAAGGCATTAAACAGGCATCTGAGTAAATATCTGGGAACTACATTTACCGAAGATGGGAAATTGAATAAAGAAATTGACATTAGATGCAGTAAAGCAAACCAAGTATTGGGACAGCTAGCCACCCTCTTACAGCATAAGACAATCCCAATCAGCACAAATAGACATCTTATTCAAAGCATATTTATTCCAACTCTGTGCTACCAGTGCCAGACATGGTCACTCATAACAAACCATAAAAAGAAAATTAGTAACCACGGAAATGAGATTCTGAGAAGGGCTGTAGGAGTGACCATAAGAGATAAGATCAGAAATGAGATCATAAGAGAACAAGTCGGCACAGAACCAATTCTGGATTACATACAAAGACAGCAAGTGAAATGGTTTGCCCACTTAGAGAGAATGCCTTGTGACACCATACCATACAAAGCATACATGGGAAGAGAAGAAGGACGTAGAGCACGGGGTAGACCAAGAACAAGATGGAAGGATAACATCAGAGAAACTCTACAACAGCACGGTGTGCCTATGGTCGAGGCAGCCAGAAGAGCTAGAAACAGAACCTTATATCTCCCTCGACACCCACAGCGGTAAAAGAGGAAGTGAAGAAGAAGTGAAGAAGAAGAAGACTTAGACATGGTTACACCAGCCTAGAACGAATACCAGGATAATTCATGGGAAGTAAAGGCCTCCAGGGTGTCCACACATCACCTATTGAGTCCCAGTTGCTGTTCAAGACACGAAGCAACACATTATGCCAAAAGATACGGAACTCTAAAGGACTCTTGATGTTCTTGGCTCAGTGCAATCAGTCAATGAAAACAGAAATATGCTGGGAATAGACAAATCTAGAGAGCTAAAGAAAAGGATAAAACAGTGCGTCACAGTAACAGTGGCTGCCTATGTGATGGTAATATGTATACATACATACATACATACATACACACATATATATATATATAGAAAGAGAGAGAGAAAGAGAGAGAGAGAGAGAGAGAGAGAGAGAGAGAGAGAGAGAGAGAGAGAGAGAGAGAGAGAGAGAGAGAGAGACTAATTGGATATCAGATCACTTTAAATAGTCTCAAAGCTGGTTATCACAAACAATTATCTTAATGATTCAACGACAACCAAAACAAAAAAAAACCTTCAAATACATTAAAATGAAGAATCTGTACTTCTAAATGTTGTTACAATACTACATGTTGTTACAATCCTACATGTTGTTACAATCAAAACATTAACGAGCAGCAGGTCCTTTACGGATCGCTACTCTCTTTATGGCAGGCCTTAACGTTTCTCTTTCTTTAACAAATTCTGAAATCTACTTTTGCTTTCATAGCCAATACATCTTTAATGTCTTGTATCCACCTTCTCGGAGGACTGCCTGTGCCTCGTTTTCAGGAAACTGTACCTTCCATTACGGTTTTCACCAGGCCATCATGACAGTTTACCTAGCCAGAGTAGCTCAGCTTTAGACACAGGAACTTTAACACCCTCTGGACTGAAATGCCAACACAGTTTCATTTAAACCCCTAGGGGATTGAACTGCCCTCACAGTTTTATCTCTAACCACCTAGTTATGGCCCCTGGTACTCCACATGGGGTATTTATTCCCTCAGCCGACACGTGTAGGCAGTCTGCTGAGTAACCATCGATCCGGCTACTTCGAGATACCAGCTAAGTGATTTTGTGTATTTGTGTAGTATTGTTTGATTAGGCTTGCTAATATACTTCCCGTGCTGTTTTATATCTTTTCTTGTCACCGGGTTTTGACCAAGTGTCGTGGCTTTCTGTACTGGTCTTGCTCTTTTTTTTAGGTGACTTGAGTGAGGATTTCCTGTCTATCCATGTCTGTCGGGGTCTTCCTCTTACATTTCACTCACATGTTTTACCATAGAAGGTCTTCATAAACAGTCGTCTTGCTTCCCTCAACACTTCATTTCCCGTCTATCCATGTCTATTGTGGTCTTCCTCTTACATTTCACTCACATGTTTTACCATAGAAGGTCTCATACACAGTCTAGTCTTGTTCCCCTCAACACTTCATTTCCCGTCTATCCATGTCTGTGGTGGTCTCCCTCTTACATTTCACTCACATATTCTTCCATTGAAGGTCTCATAAACAGTCTAGTCTTGCTACCCTCAACACTTCATTTCCCGTTTTTCAACGTGAACTGTTTTGCTGAAACCTTTTCTTTAAGTCAAGTTAAAGTAGAGGACACCCCCCCCCCCCCTCCCCCTTCCAGCTTTAACCGCCCAGAGGCCTATTGTGCATATAGTGCTTTATGTATATTTTATATACCTATGGACCATTAGTGGGTGATGTGATCAGCCTAACCCCGGCCATCTTTACTTCCTAGGATTTTCTTGCTACCCACTCAATTCTAGGTCGACCTGAAGCGAAGGCCATTTTTGAAACACATCCGGCTCTGTCAGGATCAGAACACACGACCTTCTTATCCAGAGGCGAGTGGCTAGCCACTGCACCAGGACGGCCCCTCAAACAGTTTATGTGATACTGGTATCCGTTACCTGTTCTATTCTTGTGTTGTAGGTGACTTGTCGGGGACAGTGCATTCCGCGTGTTGCTAGCAGCCTAGTCACTGAAATTGCTAATACCATGCATACAGTTTTCTTGTTTTACCCAGCCAAATGTTAAGATGCTAAAAAAAAGCTAACAGCAATTGTGTCTAGCATTAATAAATACACATAATAATAACTGGTCTTCAAACATACAGGACACACTCCATACTTCCGCCATTATTTTGTGTTCCTTTTCTGGGATTTTGACAAGTGTCCGCACCATTGATAACTATCCAAGCTGGCCGCGTGAAGATGCGCAATGATCATCACCACCATGTGCTTCCCGATTAGCGTAGCTAAAGAGGAACAGAAAGCAATGATAGAATTAGGATATTAGGTATTATAGTTCGTTTAACAATTCATAAACATATTTGCAAGCCATTTTCTCGAAAACTGCCTTTTAGATGGTAATGATTTTTTTACCTGTAGGTTTTTGAATTGTTGAACTATAGTTAAATTAGCAAGAGCTTCGCATCCCTTCAGGGAGCTCAAATAAACAATTTTTTTTTCAATGAATGCAATTTTCTCTTATAATATTTTTAAAGGCCATTATATATATATATATATATATATATATATATATATATATATATATATATATATATATATATATATATATTCAACACAGCATTGGAGCATACACATATTAAATAGGCATCTGAGTTTAAATATCTTGTAACAACATTCACCGAAGATGGTCAGTTGGACGAAGAAATTGACATCTAATGGTGTAAAGCAGACTACGTCCTGGGACAGCTAGTTCCCCTCTTACATCATTATTCAACACCTACCAGCACAAAGAAACATCTCATACAAAACATATTCATTCCCAGCCAATGCTACCAGTACCAGACGTGGTCACCCACAGCAAAACATACAAGAAAATTATGAACTATGGGAATAAGGTGTCTGAGAAAGGCTGTAGGCGTGACAAGAAGAGATAAAATCAAAAATGAGGTCATACTAGACATGGTCATCACAGAACCGATTCTAAACAACAAACACAGATAGCAAATCAAATGTTTTGCCCACATGGAGAGATTGCATTCT